TTTTTTTTTTTTGCATTGCATGTCACACCTAAATGTTTTTATTAAATCATGCACCAAAGATGCGAAATGTGCATTAATATTTATATTTAAAAGTGAACAAAAGATGCAAAAATCTATCTAAATATTTAAATGTGAAAGTGCAAAAATATGCCAAATGTATTTTAAATGTCGTGCTATATAAATAGTTATTTTTAAAAGTGCACAAAAGATGCAAAAATGTATATAAATATTTATATTCAAAGGTGTACAAAAGAACATTATAAATTGCACAAGTGTATATTAAATAGCATGTTATATAGTATGTAAATGATACATATCATGCCATTTTCATCGTGTGTAGATGCTTAGATACATATACAGTATGTAGATACTTGATGTCAAGGCTAAAGATGTGTATCTTCAAACTGGCCTTTCAAAGTTTCTCCAAAAAACACAAACAGTTCAGAAAAGGCCTCACAAGAAATATTTTGCCTCACAGTTTCTGATGTTGCCAAGTATAACGGTGGGAAACCATCAATATGAGAAGGAAGGTGATGTTTACACTCCGCTCACCATCTGCCAGCAGTTCTACCGCAACGGCAGCATCTCACCAGCCAACGAGACCTTTGACATTGATGCTCAGGTGGATGAAGGTGATGTATGTGTGTCATGATGACAGAAAACTTTGACTTTGCAGTGGCGCTGCACATCTGATCTTGTGTTGCTTTCTTTCAGAGTGTTTGCAGATTTACCCAGTACCTCCCTTCTCAGCTTTAACAACAAACCTGCTGAACTTTACTCTGCACTTTGAGAGGTGTGTCCTATATATCATGTACTGTATGTTGTGTGACACAAATAATAACTAAGCAATGTAAATATTACACATAACATTGTAGAGAGACCTTTTCTGTATCTTGTTGAATCAGTTTGTCTTCTTCAGGTTATTGACAGTGACTGTAAATTTCACTCTGAAAGCCATTAACCTGGAGACGGTTGAGTATCACGAGCTTCCGGACTGTTATGTCTTCGACATTATGGTATGTCACATGACCTTTCAGTGCATTATGGGTCATCTATGACAGTTGTTTCCATTTCCTCTTATATTTTTTTAAACCTATGAGTGGGATGAAAAGGGAAGGATTCTCAGCTGGAAAAGTTTGCAGGTTTTTTCCCTGGCTGAACACGTGATGATCACCCTCTCATGACTTGACCGGTCAAATGTTTGGAATTACAAATTTGTAATGTTTTTCAAAGAAGTCTCTTCTGCTCACCAAAGCTGCATTTATTTGATCAAAATGTTGTTATAATTGAGAACTGTTGTTACAATATAAAACAGCTGTTTTCTGTGTGAATATCTGTTAAACTGTAATGTATTTCTGTGATGTGCAGCTGTATTTTCAGCATCATTCCTCCAGTCTTCAGTGTCACATGATCCTTCAGAAATCATAATAATATGCTGATTTGCTGCTCAAGAAACATTTCTGATTATTATCAATGTTGAAAACAGTCGTGCTGCACAATATTTTTGTGGAAACGGTGAAACATATTATTTTTCAGGATTCACAGATGAATAGAAAGTTCAAAAGAACAGCATTTGTTTGAAATGGAAATATTTTGAAACATTATAAATGTCTTTACTGCCACTTACAATCAATTTAATGCATCCTTGATAAATATATATTTTTATTATTCTTCAGCAGATCATGTGACAATGATGCTGAAAATACAGCTGTGCATCACAGGAATAAATTACATTTTAATATATATTCACTCAGAAAACAGCTAATTTAAATTGTAATAATATTTCACAATATTACTGTTTTACTGTATTTTTGATCAAAAAGATGCAGCCTTGGTGAGCAGAAGAGGCTTCTTTTAGAAACATCAAATCTTACAGACCCCAAGCTTCTGACTGGTAGTGTCAGATAAAGTGATAGGCAAAAGTCAAAGATAAAGCTATAAATTATATATTTTTTATTTTATTTCCATGAGCAGATCACCTTTGACAACAAGGCCCACAGCGGTAGAATCACGATCGACCTGGACAATGACGTGCACATCTATGAATGCAGAGACTGGAGCGTGACTGGAGCATGTGAGTGTTTCTCATGAGTCCCTCTAAGAGTCATTTCTGTTGTGCAAAACCCTTAATCTTTTACTTTTAATAAATGAGTATGCGTGTTGTCATTTAAGGAAGTATTTCTATAAACCGTTCTATAGCAGACTTGCAGAAATGTGCTTCGGTCAAGATGCTTCTGCTTTAATAATCATGACTTGATTTACATAATGACAAGAAAATGAACCGGATGGAAAGAGTTAAAGAGCTTGTGATTTAACGTGACAAAAATGAACATTCGCTCCAACCAAACAAGTGTAATGAAAAATGTATTTGATTGTGATCTTAATGCAAGACAGCACAGGTGAATAGTGTAAAAAATTTAACAAATAAATATCATCTAATTGCAAACATTTTTTGTATTACAAGTTTTCTGAAATGTTATGTTTAAATACATATGCAAACGAGGCATTATTTAATTAAATATTCACTAAACTGCATAAAATTCCAGAAGATAAATCTGAACATCGGTTAAAGCCAGGTTCTAAATTCTTGTTTGATTTTGTTGACGTATTAGAGTTAAAGGTTTTTATAGAAGGGAATTTGGATTTCTCTTTTTATCACTCCATAAATAAGAAAATACTGTCAACGGCCAGAAAAATAAGTTTTCACAGTGTTTTTAGGAATAAAATATTATATAAATCATTGTGAATGATATATGAACAAACCCCTCAGTAAAATCCTTCATAATATAGAGAGGAATAAAACTGTAAAGTTTGGTGTATGTAAGTGCTGCTGAAGTGGAGAAAAAACCTTTAGAGATATGTATTGTAATTAAAATCTACAGATGCAAATAGATAAAGTGTAAAAAGAAAACCAGATGAATGATACATGAACAAACCCTTCAGTAAAACCCTTCAGACTATAGATATGAATAAAACTGCTAAGTTTGGAGTATGTAAGTGCTGCTGAAGTGGAGAAAAAACTTTTAAAGATATGTATTGTAATTGAAATGTACAAACGCAGATAGATAAAGTGCAGTAAAATAAACACTTAAATGTAAACATAAATATAAATTTATTCATTTAGACAAAAATGTATATTTAGATGTATAAATGTATATTTAGGATGCTTGTCTAAAAGAAGACATGTTATGAAAAGCCAAATAGCCCAACATGACATAACTGACCAGTGCATGAGAAAAAATGGTTTTCCTTGTTGTCTCTTGTCTTAAAAAAGATTCACTGAAGATTGACATGAAGCATTCGTGAATGTTTTTTTT